AAAAAAAAAAAAAAAAATCACTTTTTTTCTAAACAGTTGCTTTGAACATTCATTGGTAGTAGCCAATAACATCTGATTTCATTTTCAGATAGAGAACCAAGGTCAGGAATCCAGGGAACCATCACACTGGCTTCAAAGCCTTTCTGAACATTAATTCAGGTTGACCAACAGCCCAGCAGCTCTACAGGCAGGAGTCCCAAAAAGGATAAGAAATAGTTTTCTAATAACCAGAGCTATCTGAAATTGACGTGGACTACCTTGAGAAAAAGTGAATTCCCCCAGGTTCAAATGGCGACTTTGGACTCTGTTGGCAGGAACAGAGACGTTTCAAGCATCAGATGAGGTGTCAGGTTGATTTGAGCGCTCTGTGGGCGTGCAGCTGGAGCCATACTCCCCAGAGGGGCCACGGCTGGAGGTGTCCTGAGCCTCACGTGGGAGACCTCTCCAGCCTTGGCTCTTATGGGTATTCAGATGATGAGCCTTCTGTGATGTGCCATTTGAATTCAATTTTCAGGATGGCAATCCCCTAACCTGTTGTTAAAGGTGTTGTGGAGTGTCTCCGTACAGTTCTGAAAGATGCCATCGTGTATGGGTTGAAAATAGTCCCAAAGATCATTTGCAATCAAGCAAATGTGCACATTTCTGTTTGCTCCAGTGCTGTCCACTACCTTCTCCTGACTCAGTTTTCTGGAAAATAATTGATGAATTTAATTTGCCCTCATTATTGGTTTAATTGAAGGTGATAGATATCAAAAGTCCAGACACATATCTTGGGGTAAATGCTGAAAGGCAGAATTCTTTTTCCAGAAGCACTTCATGCCTTAAAATAATATATTCAGTGCTTAAAATTGCTAACATCTTCTTCCAAATTGCCTGGCAGAAGAGGAGGAAGCCCCAGATGGTCGAGTTTGGCAGTGCCTGGGCTACTGTGCTCTGGATGCCATCTTTAAAGTAGATGAAGATTTATTTCATAGTCAAGCCTGGAAGGTGAAACATATTTTGGAGTGGAGTGTATTATATGCTTCCCTCTTCAGAGGTTGAGAGAGCATGAGCACAGATTCTTTTCACTTAAATTAATCTCTGTTGTAGTCCTTCTACTATTCATTCAACAAATATTTAGTGAGCACCGCTGTGCATCGTACTCTGGGAGGTGCTGTGAGGGTCACAGATACAAGCAAGATACCAGCCTTTGCCTAAGGCAACTCAATATATTTTGGGCAGACAAGATGGAAAAGTAAGCGTTTACAAGAGAATGTCTGAAGCATGCCAGTTGAATGGGTCAGGAAATAGGGGCAGTGGAGGTCAAAGGAAGGAGAAGATATTGCATTTGAGTTATTTAAGGGAAGAGTGGTTTATCTGAGCCATGCATGCAGCCCCAAGGAAGGGGACCAGCGTGTTCTATTTGGCAGAAATGTCAAGGAGAGTGAGAGGCAATTACTTTGGTGATTAGGACATGGCTGTTGACCTTCAAGAGCAGAAATTTCAGGGGAGGATGGTATTGGAAGCCAGATCGCAGTGAGTTACAGGGCAGATGCATTTGAGGAAATGGATGGTTGGCCAGTCACTGGAGATGTTTGATAGTGAAGGGAGAAAGTATATCAGAGTCAATGAGAATTTTTTTTCCTCAGACAAAGAAAATTGTTATTTTGAAGGAAGAGACTAGTGGGTTTTTGAAGGGGAGAGGTTAAATGTGTTTGAAAGGGAATAATTAAATTGTAAGATCCCAGAGAGGATAATGTTAACAAAGGAAAGAACCACGGGATAATTAGTAGTATTTTTGATAGGGAAGTGAACTGGCATAAAATGTATTTTTGCATTTTACGTAAAAACATTACATTAAGAAACTCAAATATCATTATGGATTAGTAATTCAAGTAAGAAGTTGGGGAGGAGGAAGGATTAAAAGTAGTTCCATATTTAGAGTCTTGTTCTTTAAAGAATATTGATGGTTTACATCTTCTGGGAATAGTTTAATGGGATTATTCCTTATCTTCGCAACGGACCGCCAAGGAATGCAAACTGAAGACAGGAGTTTCTCCGGACCTCACCGCTGCCTCTGTATCTGTGACTTACGCCTCTCACGTGCCAGGGCTTGTCATGCTGACCACGTTTTACATCACTGATTGTTAGACAAGGTTGGGAAGAAAGGAGAGGCAAGGAACACCCTTGGTAGATGAAACGTAGGACTCCCATGAAGCTGACTTGACTACGGGGCAGAAGTTTTCAGGGGCTCTCAGGGATTTCATGGGGATAGCCAAACACTGAGAAGTATTTGCATGTGTGCTGTGAGTGATTGCTAAACCTTCTGAGTGTGTATTCGGTTACACTGCCTCTGTGCTGTTTGAGATCAACATTAATGCCTCTTGCTCCTTCAGGATTAAATGTGTCATTTAAAGGAATTTTTCTCCACAAAGGCCCTCACAGGGGCTGCACTTGTTCCCCTCAGACACAGGTGTGTTTGCAGTGGTGAACAGTCGTTCCCTGTCTCTGCTGGGGAAGCTGACGATCAGTGCTGCCTTTAACATCGTGTATATCTACACCTCGGAGCTTTACCCTACAGTCATCAGGTAAGCCTCACACGGCCGCCGCCTCCTTCATACAGCCTGCGTTCTCTTCTGGATGGTTATGTCATCGGAGCTAGGGTTCTCATTTCCCCTGGAGCGTAGTGGGGTGGGCCAGCAGCAACTCAGCAAGCAGTTGTAAGCTCAGAAACTGCGCAGACTGCTCTCTGCCTGCTTGGCTGAGGAAAGTGTAGCTTTATCTTGGGCTGATTTCCCTCGTGTAAATCATGAGAGAAGAGCTCTACAGTAAACATAGCCCATCCCCCAAATAGTGCTCAGATGTTGTTTTTATTCCAGTGGACTTCATTTATTCAGTCACCATTCTGTGTCAGGCACATGACAGACTGGGGGACAAGGTCCCTGTTATCACAGAGCCTGCATTTTAGCACAAAATATACATATTTTTAAAAAGGTCATTCCATATAGTGGTAAGTGAATATTAGATTTACATATTGGTTGTTAATGGTGGTTTTTAATGATTAGGACTTGTTATATTGAAAAGAACATATTCAATACTAAGTTTCCCCTCATAAAATAAGTCTGAAAATAAAAAAACAAACTCAAATTTGAAGGGCAGGGATGCAGCTTAGATTATGCAGAACTGCCTCTGAGAGCTGGGCCGGTATCCCTCACTTGGCACTTTCCCTGTCTTTGTGAGGATCATTCCAAACGGATCCTTCTGTTTCCCTTATCCATGCAAGAAGCCTGATGGTTCTGCCTTCTTCTCAGTAAGAGATCAGATTGTCTGCAACGGGCTAGTCATTTCCTAATTGTTCCTATAACCTACTTTCTCTGGCTATTGGCTGTAAAACTAAGATGACCATTTTATCCAAACTGGGACACTTCTGAGTGCGAATGTGGGCATTATTAATGTTTAGGCTGGGATAACAGGGTGATGTATGGTCCCCCACCTGTAACCATTATCATTCTCACTTCCTCCCACCTCTTTCATACCCATACTCCTCAAAAAGGTACTGTTCTTGGTTTCTGAGAATATATGCTCTGTCAATCCCTCTTTATATAACTGACCCTTTAATAGTTAATTAGTTGAGTTTAAATAAATGGGCAGACTTCTTAAATCAGAAAGCCCTAGCTCTCCATGGCTATATTAAATGATAGGAGACCTAAGACACAAAAAGCCATAAGAACATTTGACAAGAAATATTCACATGCTCATTGCTGCACCATCCTCTGTAACTACACTGTCCAATATGGTAGTTACTAGCCTCGTGTGGTAATTTAAATTTAAATTAATTAAATAAAATAAATTAAAAATTTAGTTTCTCATTCTTACTAATCGTGTTTCAAGTGCTCAGTAGCTGCATGTGCCTAGTGGCTTCCACATTGGATAGTGCAATTATAGAACGTTTCCAGCATCATAGAAAGTTCTAGTAGGCAGCACTGCTCTATAGGATCCTGCGCTTTCACTTTGGGATAGGTTATTCTAGGCCCACTATCCCCCAGGGTCTTTAGATTGTCCCTCCAGAACATACTGACTTTTTTTTTCACTTTTTCTTATGCCTTTTAGGAATGTTGGGCTTGGAACTTGTTCCATGTTCTCCCGAGTTGGTGGGATTATTGCTCCCTTCATCCCCTCACTGGTTGGTTTGTACTTCCTGGTTTTGTTTTTTTTGATCTCTGCTTTGTAAATGCCTATGCTTTTGAGTAGAGAGAGGTAATGAACAGCTGCCGCTTGATGCCTGACACAAATGTGAACCTTGTGCCTTTTAGATTAAGGATCCATCAGGACAAGTGGACTCTTACCAAGGATGCTTTCACCGCTGATGGCTCTGATTTTTTGCTCCTCTGTATTCATGGGAGAGTTAGCTAGTGCCAGCCCGTTCCTGTCCCCATTCATAAGTTAGTCCCTTAGTGAATAGTTGTTAAGTTTCTGCTGTGTGCTGGGCTCTGAGCTAAGCACTTTACATATATTATCTCCTGTAATCTTCACGATAACCGTATGAGGTAGGCGTTGTTGTTACCCCTGTATCAAAGCTAAGAATGCAGCAGAAAGAGGATAGATACCTTCCGTAAAGGCACACCACTTGGAAAAGAAAATTAGAAGAGAAATATGCCTAGTGGTCTGTCTACTAATAGTTTTTGCCATTTTCTAAACTTCACAGTCAAAAGAAAGGGGAATAGACTAAATGACAGCCCCAGAATCCGTCCAGTCTTGAGATGTTCTGGTTCTGCGAAAGAACTCATGGAGCCCCTACGCATATCTCTGCTTGGTCTCATCTATGACTTTTCCAGCCAAGACTCATCGATGGATGACTGGATTTGGTGTGGGGCTTGTGAGCCTATTTTGTAGACAACTGTTCATTACTCAGGGAACTTTACTCACTATTTCCTTATACGGGATGTCTCTGAAATGCCATTGCAGCCTTTTCTTTTCTTTTCTTTTCTTTTCATGTGAGAAAGATCTGCCCTGAGCTAACATCCATGCCAATCCTCCCCTTTTTGCTGAGGAAGACTGGCCCTGGGCTAACGTCTATGGCTATCTTCCTCCACTTTATATGGGACGCCGCCACAGCATGGCCTGACAAGCGATGCATCGCTGTGCACCCGGGATCTGAATCTGGGCTGCCAGCAGCAGAGCGCACGCACTTAGCCGCTACGCCATGGGCCGGCCCTGCCTTTTCATTTTTTGAGTTGCCATACACTTCCTTTTTGTCTCTCTCGCCATGTTTCTTGCTTAATTTTAGATCACAAGAGGCTTCTTATGAAGAAGTCCTATTAGTTCCATTCTGCAAAATGTATCCAACATTAGGTGTTTAACATTAGACATAATCTGACTTTGGATGGCTATCCTAGAACGCTGTAATACCCAGCACTGTGTCTCTATTGATTCTTGCTAAGTTGAGAAGAGGTGAGAGTTGATTAGATAACACACCCATAGTGCTGGACATGTATTCGCATGTAGATGGCCAGAGGTCAGAGATTCTCCTCCCCACTCCTCCTCCATCCTCCTGTCCTTCCCCATCCCCTCTCCACCCCTCAGTCCCCCTCTCCCTCCTCCTCCTTCTCCATCATCTTCTTACTTTTGAAAAATCAGGAAAATATTACCTAAGGAGACATCCTAACTAATAGTGATCCTAGCCATGGAATTTGGAAGCCTAAACCAAAAGATGATAAAGCTGAGCAACTCCTGTGTAGAAATTCAAGAATGTTAATCAGCTCAGGCCCCAGAGCAACATCTTGCAAGGAACGTTTTCTGTGTTGTTATCTTTGAACCTGTTTATACTTAAAGAAACTATTTAAATTTTCCTGAGGTTATCTTTTGGATCTCTGAAGTTAGTGTTTGTGTCCCTGGCCCTCTACCATGTTCAGTTCAGGTAGTTTCCAAATCAGGTAGTGTACGTGCTTGGGTTCTCTAGACTTCTTTTTCTAGTGTTTATACCTTTAATCTCTGTGCCTCTCAGTTATGATGCTGAGAGAATCAGTGAGCATATATGGGGTTGTTGGCTGATCCCAGGGTTGAGAACTTTAAAGTTTGTCATCAGCAAGTACTTTGGGGTGTCTCCTATGTCAAGAGTATGTGGAGATCACTGTGTTATAAGCACCTTGCCTGGAATGGAAGCCGAGCCCCAGATTCCCTGTGAACTCTGGCCCTGGAGGCCTGGCCTGTGCCAAGGCAGCCAAGGCCTGTCCTCCCACAGTACCCATCCCATGCATAAAACATACCAGTGCTGTTGTGTTGCCTTAGTCCTGTCTCTGTGTGCCTGAGAAATCACTCCATGATTTCCTAGAGTAATTCTCTGTGGGGAAAGAAGTGGTTTATAGTGTACTCTAGTGGGAAGGTGTAAACTGGCTAGTAAACACGGCAGCTCTTCAGTCATCGTGACATCGTGATATCAGCTGCTAGGACGCTAATACTGGGTCTTTGTTTGCTTTCATCCCACTCCCTGCCCTTACAGAAATATGTGCAGTGGTCTTTACCCTTCATTGTCTTTGGAGCCACGGGCCTGACCTCGGGCCTCCTGAGTTTGTTATTGCCAGAAACCCTTAACAGTCCATTGCTAGAGACATTTGCTGACCTTCACGTGTATTCATATCGGAGGCTGGGGGAGGAAGCGTTATCTTTACAGACTTTGGATCCCCCACAGGTATGGCGGTATCTTTCTTAATCATTCAGGTCTACCACTTGGATGATGATAGTTTTGGGGGGTGAGGAGGAATATCTGATTAAATAGATTAAATAGATCTAAGCAAAACTGCTGGAAAACAAAGCAGCTGATTTTCAGAGAAATAAAGATGATCGATGATTCATTAGCATTCTTAGAACACTTTAGGGGCTAATTCTTGGGGGAATAGATGTCGTAAAAATACATTTGTCAGTTGAATGCTAGACAGTAATTTTCATTTTAGAAATGTCATGACATCATTTCACCATCCTTTTCTCCTTTCCTGTTTCAGTCTGCGGGCAGGGAGAGCGCATCAGGGAGTGAGAGTGAGGAGGAGGAAGAGTTTTATGACGCCGATGAAGAGACTCAGATGATCAAGTGAAGAGCCCAGATTCCTCCTCAGAAGCAGAGGATCATCTTTTGTGCCTCTGGCTAAGGCAGGTTCTCCCAGGAAACTTAAAGAGTTGTAGAAAGATAGACTTGAACATACATAAAGGGTACTCAGTGTGGACTGATTTTTTCAGGCACAAAGGAAGTTGGAGAAGAGAGTTCATGAAAGAGGACATCACTGCATTGAAGGAATAGTTGTTAATTTGTCCAAAATTCGGGTTTAGGTCAGAACCATGACCTCTGGCCAGATAGCTCAAATCCATATGCCAGAGTGGCAAGCTGATTTATTTCTAGAAGTATGACCATGTTACTTTTTCTTCATCATGACCTAAAGGCAGATATGTAAAATTTCTTCTCACCATTTTAGTGGGGTAAGATAAACCACTCTTAAGATTTAATCTTTAGGGCCGGCCCCGTGGCTTAGCGGTTAAGTGCGCGCGCTCCGCTGCTGACGGCCTGGGTTCGGATCCCGGGCGCGCACCGACATACCGCTTCTCCGGCCGTGCTGAGGCCACGTCCCACATACAGCAACTAGAAGGATGTGCAACTATGACATACAACTATCTACTGGGGCTTTGGGGGAAAAATAAATAAATAAATAAAATTATAAAAAAAAAATTTAATCTTTAGGTTCTTCAAATTTCATCTTTATACTGTACTTGACATCTACCCTTATCAGTCGCTCCTCACCAGGAATCTTTTGAGGCGAGTTGGTGTTAGCATTTCAGTTTTATACCAAAGGTGATTTGTGTGGTCCGAGGCCCTTCAGTTTTACCCGATCTGATGAAATTTGGGTCCTCAGCCTGGTTCCCAGCCTGTTGGTTGGCTTGAGTTCCTTGTGCCTTTAGTCCCACAGATGATCCACTAGGAAAAGCCAGCTGTGCCAAAGTGATTTTCTCAGAGTCAGAGGTGTGGCTGCGGCTCCTGGGAGCTCTCCTTGATACTCAAGTTGTGTGATTTCTTTAGTTCCCACTTATGAGCACCTCCAGAAAAATTTCCATCTCAGGTCCTAGTACCAGCAATAACTTCAAAGTCATGCACAGTAAATGATGAAGTTTCATAAAGGTGGAAGGCAGTTAAAAAGTGACCTGTTGAGCACTTGGATGCTAAAATGAAAAAAAAAAAAAGGTGCCGTTTTTAATAAGGAAGAAAAGAAAATTATCTTTCACAAATTTTTGTTTGTTTTGTTTTCAGTCTTGTGCAATGAGGGACTCAGGCAAGATTTAGCATCTTGAACTCTTCTAGTCCTAGATCAGCTCCTGCCTGTTTAATAGAATGGAAGGCTCAGTAATTTCATAGGAAATGTTGGTTTTTTATTAAGTACTACTAACTTTCAAGTAAATCAAAATCGTGCTTAGTTTGCTAAAATCACATGCTGAAAATATATTTCCCTGTGAAACTTCAGTGTTATCCCAAATAAGAGTTTTAACCTGGAGTCAATGAGCTTGAGCAGCATTGCTGTAAGTCACTAGGAAAATGTCTTTGTGTTTTCAGAATTTCCATTTCTACTAATCTCTTGGAGGAAAGAAATTGCATTAGAGGTAAAGAGAAGATGTTACTGTGACTGCTTCTGGAAACCTTGGAGGGATCACCCCTAGTTGGCTCCGACACTCTTCTGTCCTCTTCCACGTTGACCTCTTGGCTTGTCCTCTATCAGTCTTTGTATTTGTTAAAGTATTTTTATGTTCTTTATGCCCTTGATTATGTATTGGGCTCTTCACAAATTGGGCCATCTCTACTAGTGTTTATTTCTCTCTGCTGTGCCCAGACATGGGCCTAGACACAGTAGGGCCCTAATAAGTATTACTGTTTCTAGCCATCAGGGAAATTGTGGAACTCCTCCCAGGATCATTTTTATAAATCCCAGGCAAATCTGACCCAAACCCCCAAATTGTGGAATCCTGCTTGTCTTTCTGGAAAATGGAGACCCTGCCCAATACCAGAAGAAGAAGAGAGGAAGAACTTACAAGGACACTTAGAAGCTCTTCATCAATGGTCAGGCATTAAAGATAAAACAGTAAACCAACATATATGTGATTTTTTGGTTGGTTGGAGCTCTCTTTGAGTTATAAGGGTAATACATCCCATTATAGAAAATTTGGAAACTAGAAGTTAAATTTATATCCCTGGGTATTATAGGCCTAATACCCAGAGATAACCAATGTATGGCTTTGTTCTATTTGAAGACCAACTGGAAATCCATCTCTCTATTAGCACTGGGCTTCCCTCTGCCTCTGGCTAAGTAAATGAGGATTTAGTTCTATCCCTGAGTCTGCTTATCCCAGCTACGGGGTGGAAGAAGAGAGGGAGGGATACACAGGTTGAACACATGTTGCCTAATAAGGCTGGGCAGGCTACCAGCTGCTCATATCAGATGTGTCACTAAATTTTGTTTCTTTCTAGATGGTCTTTTGGCAAAGTTTAATAATTACTGTTTTTTCATTCCACTGCCTTTTATAAAAAGAAAGTTTTTTCCCTTTGCTATTAACTGTTGAAGAATAGTGATTGTAGAGAATATCACATGTGTATAGTTGTCTTGATTAAATTATTGGAAAACTTTTAATTTATGGCTAAAATATTTTGTTTGTGCAGATGATTTGTAAAAGATATCCTTTTTTATTTTTTTGTTGTATTCAAAATTAAATCTCTTTTCTCCAAAGCAGCAAGAAAAATGTAAGATACATAAGAAACCCTGGGGTTTCCAGGGTCAGAGGTCTAAGAGCTTGTCCAGAACCTTGGCACCACACGGATATGTTGAAAGAAACTGTTTTGTGGTTTCCTGATGAGTTAAAACCACTGCCCATTGAAAATGCAGTATTTGTCATTTGACTGCTTTCAAGCAATATAGACATTCTTTAGTATTTAAAAATGAGTAAATAAAATACAACAAATAAACAAGAAGCAAATAAAAGTTTCTGGGGCACTGCTTAAGTGAATGTAATCTGGACAGGTATTTTTATGGAGGTCAGATTGATGAAGATACTTTTAGTAGATTTATATTCTTAACATTGAAATAATTGTTACTATTGTATCAGAATTAAAATACAGCTTTCCAATAGGACTTACTCCTCCATTACAAATTCTTATTATTTAATTGGTTCTTAAATTGAAAAGATATCTGTAAGGAATTTTTTTTAACTAAATAAAATGCAGGTATTTTGGCTTCTTATGAATTTAATAAAGAATCACAAAACATAGGCCTTTCATTCTTACAGAATGTGTCAGGATGTATAGTAACATATTTGACAAATTGGGAAAATATAGAATCTGCTAGAAATTATGGGTGGTATGTGGGACAGTGGCTGTAGCGAAGTTAGGGAGTCATGGGCACAATAGATAACTATAAAAATGTTTTTAGAAAGAGAAAAATGCAAAGATAACGTGTTGTTGGAAAATTCGTCTATATCGTACATGAAGAAAAAGACCTTATGATTACCTCAGTAGATGCATAAAGATTATGTGGCAAAATTCAATACCTATTCAAAATAAAAGCTATTAGCAGTCAAGGAATGAAAGGAAACTTTCTTAGCAAAATAAGGGATATTGTAGTACATATGGTGAATTGACACACAGTGTCTCTTTAGCTTCCTGCTGCCTTGGCCTTCAAACTTTCTTGATCTTGACCCACAATAAGAAATGTTTTTTCACATGTTCTCTCTCTTTATCCCTCCCCTTTCTCCTCCCCCACCTTACAAATATATATATATGTATAATATATGTTTAAAATATATATGTGTACATGTATATAAAACTTTCATGGAACAATCTTTATGCTTGCTACGCACACTGATAAGTTCTGTTCTGTTTCATTTTTTAAAATGCCATTTGTGACCCCCCTAAATTGATTTCATGACCCACTAATAGGTTGAAACCCATAGTTTGAAATCCACTGTTCACCTTTGTACTACAGAGGCTGTAAAGCTAAAATGTACATTTCCCGAAGTCCCTTGCAGCTAGGCTTCTAGGTGTAACTTAGTTTCCATCAGTCAGATACAGATGGAATTGGGAAGGTGGAGGCCATGCTTGTGATGGGTCAGTTTTTTTCCGCTGGGTCCACAGAGGTGGAGGCATTTGGTTTTGCTGAGGCAGTTTCAGCAGAGATGTTGATAGTCAGGGGCAATATTCATTAAAATAGGAAAATTGTAGGTATAGATTGAACAAGATTTTAACATAGAACCTGGCAAAATAATTCCAGTACTCATGTGGAAAAGTAAAGACCCCAAAATATTCAAGACAATCCTGAAAAATAAGAGTAAGTAAAAGGGACTTGACTTCCCAGATGTTGAAACTTAATGAAGCTGTAATATTGGTGCAGCATAGACAAGTAGATCAATAGGACATAATGGAGATCCCGGAACAAGGCCAAGCACATAAAACAGAGTTTTAAAGGTGGCATGACAAATCAGTAGGAAAAGAACAAACTATTCAATTATTGATATGAGAACTATTGGATTTTCATATCAAAGAAAATAAAATTAGCTTCTTTCCTTTTACCATAACAAAAATAAATTCCAAATGAATTACCCACCTAAATGAAAAAAACCAAAACTTTAAAACTATTATAAATTGACATAGGAGAATATTCTTATGACCTTGGGGGATAGATGGATTTTTTAGACAAGAAGTGAACATCACAAATCATTTAAAAAAAAAAGATATATGTTTGCCTACACTAAATTTAAAGTTTCCTTCTATATGACTAAACACATCACAAAGTTAAAATAAAAGCAATAGATTAGGAAAGAATATTTGCAAATTCTGTATGAGACTAGGATTAATATCTATAATGTATGAAGAATTAGTGCAAAACAGAAAGAAAAGTAATAGGAAAGTTTACAAAAAATATTGTTAGGCAACTTGCAGATGAAAAGATGCTCAACCTCACTAGAGGATCAGAGAAATGCAAATTGAAACAACATTAAGATATCATTTAAAATCCATTAGATTGGAGAAAAAAGAATCGTAAAATCAAATTTTCAAGATATAAAGGAAAAGGAATTTACTTACATCCTGATAGAATTATAAATTTATTCATCAACTAGATTGTCAATAGCAAGTCAGGTTGAAAATGTTCATATTCTATGATACAGAATTCTGCTTCTATGTATATATCATGGGACAGTTTTCAGATACTTTGTAGCCCATTATAAGAAAAATGTTTTACACTGTGACACACACAGCACATACACCTACACACGTATCCATACATATAAACAAAGCAAAGTTTTGTAAAATAATACTTACCCTTACTATATATATTGCATTGTATTTTCTGTTCTATTCTACTTCACTTTAAAATGAAAAGAATACTGGTGAAGACACCTGAAAGTGATTTCACAATTCATAAGCCGATCAAAACATGCAGTTGGAAGAAGGGAAACATAATACCTTTAGTATTTG